ATGTTGAGTACCTTCTCATGTGCTTATTGGCCATCTGTATGTCTCCTTTGGAAAAATGTCTATTCAGATCTTCTGCCCATTTTTCTTTTAAACTTGGATTGTTTGCCATTGAGTTGTAAGAATTCTTTATATATTTTGCTTATTAACTCCCCTATCAGATATATGAGTTGCAAATATTTTCTCAGATGTAGTTAAGCTTATGTTTGAATTTTCTATTTTGTTTTATTGATCTATGTGCTCATGTGCCGATACCATCTTATTAATATTATTATACTGGCTTTATAATGTCTTATTAACTGGTATGGCTCGCCTCTGCACATTTCCTTCTTTTTCAGGGCTTTCCCAGATATTCTTGTTTCTGCAGCCTTTTAAATGAACCATATAGGTTAACTCAAAGTGTTAAAAATATGGCTTTGTATTATTTTATTTTTTTTGGCAATTTTGCACCTTTTTTTTTAACTTTAGATTCAAAGGAGAAGACATAAAAGAGTTACATGAAATTCACTGGTGATAATTAAGGGGACTGATGAGGGAAATCTCTGGGATTAGATAAAAAGTTAAAAAAAAATAGACACAAACTTCTTTTTAAGATTTATTGAATAGTTAACAGTTAATATTTACCACCACAACAATAATAATCGGGGCTCTCTGGTCTTCTGTGCTTGGAGACTGTGCCCTTAGGATTCTGTAAAAAAAAAAAAAAAAATTTACCTGAAAATCCAAAGGTATGTTATTCTAGATGCAAAAATAGACAGGCTCAATAAATTTGACCTCTGCAAAAACACACACACACAAATACAAACACACACAAACAAAAAAAACCACAAACAAGACTAGGACATAACTAACACTGTGACTTGATTTTACTTTAACTTCAAACCATCCAACAGGGTTCTTTTGGCCTCTGAGTTGTTTTTTTTGTTTTTGTTTTTGTTTTTAAATATATTTTATTGATTTTTTTACAGAGAGGAAGAGAGAGAGATAGAGAGCTAGAAACATCGATGAGAGAGAGTCATCGTGCAGCTGCCTCTTGCACACCCCGCACTGGGGATATGCCCGCAACCAAAGTACATGCCCCTGACTGGAATCGAACCCGGGACCCTTCAGTTCGCAGGCCAACACTCTATCCACTGAGCCAAACCAGTTTCGGCTGGCCTCTGAGTTTGTAAGATTTGGCCTTGTAGGTTTTTATTCCGTCCTCTTCTGTTTTGTTCCCCCACTCTTGTCCAAACCTTCTCTTTCTTTCCCCCCTAATAGCCTTCTTCTGGACAATTTGAATCCTCCTCCCAGAAGCTTTCTCTCAGAGAAAGCATTTTCTGTATTTCATGTAACATTGTTTTGAAATCACTAATTCAGTTGCTGAATAGGTATGGGATTTTGGTCAAAAGTATCCTTGTATTTTTTTCATCTATACATTGTAAATGAAAAATAATCTATTTCATAGGTTTCTATGGGTTTTATTCTGTTCTTCACAGCTACAAATAATTGTCAGTCAGGCCTCAGTCCTACCTATCAGGAGAATTTGACTAATTTAATCACTCTCCTAAAACACATTCTTTAACTGATGTCTCTGATACTTCATTCAACCACTTTTCTTCCTAATTAACTTGCTTCTCCTGTCCTACTCTTTCAATGTTTCCTCCTTATCCCCTAAATATTGGAGAACCTCAGAAGTCAGATTTCAGACCTTTCTCATTTAAACTCACTCTTTAGTAAGATATGAACACAGATAATAATTTAAAAAATAAAAATAAAAGGAATAAAAAGAATAAAATAGCAAAAAATAAACTCATTCTTTAAGTGAGTTTCTACAACCCTATACATGTAAATATCCCAACAACTCCCAAATTTTATATCTCCCACCTGGACCTCTACTATGCACTTAAAATGTGTACATCTAACTGCTTTCCTATCAACTCCCTCTGGATGTCCCAAAGGTATCTCCATCTTAACTTACTCCTAACTAACTCGAATATTCTTCCCCAACCCTGTTTCCCCTGCAGTCTTCCCAATCTTAGTTAACGACAATTCTGTTCTAGTAGCTCAGGGAAACATTCTCTCTCTGCCCTCCAGTCCACCTGTCCCTGGGTTCGCTCCTGTGGCCACAATGGCAGCCCAGCTGGGCTGGCTGGAGTGACTCGGACAGCTGGGCTGCTCTCTACCAGGTCTATCTCAGGCGTCTTCAGATCCTGGCTTCTTCGTGATTCCTGGAGGGCAAGTTCCAACAGACAAGCACTTCTTACATCTCTTCTCGATTCACAGTTTCTAATGTATTCGTTTGAATTCAGTGTCTTCACTATTTGGAGCAAGTTAAGTACTGAAGAACACGGATGGTGAAATGACTGTGCTGGGCACAGTTTGGCAGCTCCTTACTCGTTCGTAATCAACAAACGTTAGCCAAGCTTCAGTTAGTTGGCATTTTGTGAGGGCCACAGCACTCCGCGTTTCCTCCCAGTGACAGGATGATTCTTCGGCTATTTTTGTCTTGTGTCAACATTTTTTTTCCAACCCGAATTTCCTCAGGATTTGCTTTCAGGTCTCTGTTGTAGCGAAAACCACAAATGTTCCCAGCTTTGGAGATTAGAAGTACTGTCCCTATTCCTTTAGTTTTTTCCAGTGTTTCGCAACTTGTACTTTTCCAGACCTTTTCATTCTTTGATTGGTTCTTTTTCTTAAATTTTCTGATCTTTTCAAGTTCTTTTTCTTAATCCCTTACTTTGCTTTCCTTGGATTTTTTTTTAAGTATATTTTTATTGATTGTAAGAGAGAGGGAGAGAGAGTTAGAAACATCGATGAGAATCATCAATCAGCTGCTTCTTGCACACCCCCTACTGGGGATGTGCCCACAACCAAGGTACATGCCCTTGACCAGAATCGAACCTGGGACCTTTCAGTCTGCAGGCTGACGCTCTATCCACGGAGCCAAACTGGTTTCAGCTCCTTGGATTCTTTTGATGTCCTTTTTCTATGCCAAATGAATGTTTAATTCATTTATTTTCTTTCCTTCTTGTAATGAATATATATGAGCTGTTACATTTTTTTTCTGTGTATTGCACTGTCTACATATTAAATCCATTAATCCAGCTCCGATTCACCAGTGAGCACTCTTTCCTTTTACCATTCCTCTCTGAAATAATTTCTTTGAAAGCAACATTCCTGGGCTACTCATTCGGCAACCTCTGTGGAGTATGGCGTTAGCATAGTGTCCTGGCGCACATAAGTGACAATAATGATGAATAGCCTTTATTGAGCTGTTACCCTTTATACTTTACACACATTTTAACAACTCAGTACTGATCTTCCATGGCCTTTTCACAGAGGAAATGTGTACTGGAAGTCTGTCCTGTGTTTCTATTCCTGAAACATGCCAAACCTTCGGTTTTAGGGCCTTTCCCCCTTACCTGTGTTGCTGTCCTTCCATCTTCTAATTCAGGACTCAGAGCAAATGCCACTTCTTCCAAGCCTGGGATGGATCTAAAACAGCCCTCTCCCCCAACACTTTCACACATTTATTTTGTTCATAGCACTAACTCATATTCTCTTACTGATTGTTCTCTCATTTATTCTTTTCCTTGTTATAATCTGCTTGCCTTCCCCACTAGACTTTAACCTCCAAGGAGCAGAAATTTTGCCTTGGGCACCACAGCATTTCCAAGGCCCTTAGAACAATAGCTGGCGCGTAATAACCACTGAATATATATTTGTGGAATCAACACATTGCCAAAGGCAAACAACAGAGTGGCAGCTAGTTCTTTGAGGCTGTGTTAAGTGCAGCAGCTACTTTTGAATCTGAAGTTGTGAAAGTGTGACTTCTATGAAAATCACCCCTCAATACATGTGTGGCTTAAGGCGCCTCACTCCATTTCAACTGGGTTTCCTCCCTGTGAAATGAGGAGGAAGGCCCTTGTCGCTTATTTTCATCTATTTGGGACTCTACACAGAAAAAAAAAAAAATGTACCTTAAAAATCAGGATTTGCCGAAACCGGTTTGGCTCAGAAAATAGAACGTTGACCTGCAGACTGAAAGGTCCCAGGTTCCATTCTGGTCAAGGGCATGTACCTTGGTTGCGGGCACATCCCCAGCAGGGGGTGTGCAGGAGGCAGCTGATGGATGTTTGTCTCTCATTGATGTTTTTAGCTCTCTATCTCTCTCACTTCCTCTCTGTGAAAAATCAATAAAATATATTTTAAAAAACAAACGAACAACCAGGCCGAGCAAGAGAGGAAGAGCAGGTGCTTTTCAGGTAGCTCAGCAGCAAAGATGGGCGGGGGGGGAGAGAGAGGGCAGAGGAGTGGAGCAGAGTGCAATGACTGTTGAGGAGCAGGGGCGAGTCCGGGGGTGCTCTGAGAGCGGAGGGGCAAGGGTGGGGGTGAGGCTGGGCACAGAGGTGGGGAGAAGGGGGCGCAGAATGGGGAAGGCACAGGGGTGGGGTGGGAGGGAAGGAAGGGCATCTAACCCGCTGGGGTGGGCAGGAACGCACCTGGCGAGGGTGAGAGGAGAGGGGTGGGCAGAAGATGCTGGGGGTGCGGGGGCATCCAGCACCCACCCTGCGCGAAGGGACGGACAGCCAGAGAAAGGGCGGGGACGCACGCGCAGGGGTTGCCAAGAGCGCCACCCACCGGGCAGGCCGGGTCGGGGCGCCGGCAGGAGGCGAGGGCGGGTCTGCCGGGCGGGTGGCGACCTGGGGTGGCCCAGGAGGCCTCGAGGGGGCCCGGGCGGTGGGGACGGCGCAGTGGGTGCGGAGGGGCGGCCGGGGACCAGCCGGAAGTGGGGGGGGGGTGCGGAGGGCGCAGGTGGGCGCGGCGGGCGGCGGGGCGGGCCGGGCGTGGGAAGCGGCGCCCGGGTCAGCGCGGGGCGGGCGCAGCGCGGGGCGGCCGGCGGCGGGAGGGGCGCCCGGTGCCCGCCGCCACTTCCGGGAGCGCCGGCTGCGCCGCTCGTTGTGCTGTCAGCGCCGCGGGCCGCGGGGCCGCACAATCGGGGGCCGTCCCCTCCCGGCGCCATGGGGGCGCCCGCGCGGCTGCTGCGCGCAGTGATCCTGGGGGCGCCGGGCTCCGGCAAGGGCACCGTGTCGTCGCGCATCACCCAGCACTTCGAGCTCAAGCACCTCTCCAGCGGGGACCTGCTCCGCGGCAACATGCTGCGAGGCACAGGTGGGCCGGGCGGGGCGCGGGGCCTGCGGCCGGTGTGGGATCTGGGGGGCTGGTGGGGGGGGCTGGTGGAGGGGTGGGGTGGGGGGGTGCGAGTGCGGGCGCAGCGTCTGGACAGCTGCAGGCGGGCCAGGGGGGAGAGAACTAAGAAGTTGGGAGAAGTAAAAGTTCAAAGGGAACCCTTTGGGAGGCAGGTCCAGCCCCGGTCGCAGCTGCTCCTAAGAGTCCATCGAACTGGGGCTTATTCTCCACGTGCCCTTGCGTCTAAAACACCTCCCTTCCTCCCTTCCTTCCGTCTCCTTCCTTCTGTCTCTTCTCTCTTCTCTTCTCTTCTCTTCTCTTCTCTTCTCTTCTCTTCTCTTCTCTTCTCTTCTCTTCTCTTCTCTTCTCTTCTCTTCTCTTCTCTTCTCTTCTCTTCTCTTCTCTTCTCTTCTCTTCTCTTCTCTTCTCTTCTCTTCTCTTTTCTCTTTCTTGGTTAACTCGATGGGATTTTTCTGATTCTGGCCTTTGCCCCATAATCTGAAGGCAGAGCACTCTTTGCCCTCATTGCAGTCACACAGTTGGCATACATCTTGGATACCCCCAGAGATTTTTTTTTAGGCACAAAAGCTATTCATGTGAGTGGTTATCTGAAAGATTGTTTTGTTCTCATGCCAAATAAGTTTTTATAACTCAGCATGAAATCCTGTGAAAAACAACAACAAACTGTACACTTGACAATGAATCGATTTAATGTAAATTATAGCTTAAGAAGGCTGTTTTCCAAAAGTCAACATCAGGGTGAAGTGAGTTTCCCCCCTCCCTTCCCCTCAAAAGTGCTGATCTTTATTTTCCAAAATAGAACTCATTTTGAAGCTCATTTAAAAAAAAAAAAAAATTACAGCCCTAGCTGGTTTGGCTCAGTGGATAGAGTGTGGGCCTTGGTACTGAAGGGTCCCAGCTTCCATTCCAGTCAAGGGCACATGCCCAGGCTCTGGGCTCCGTCCCCAGTGGGGCGTGTGCAGGAGGCAGCAGATCACTGATTCTCTCTCATCATTGATATTTCTTTCTCCTTCTCCCTCTCCCTTCCTCTCTGAAATCAATACCAATATATTAAAAAATAAATTACAGAAGTAATGTCTACACAAGGTTAAAAAAAAAAGGGGGGGGGGCAGGGATTAGAAACAGGACAGAAGCCTGGCCATGGGGAGGGGACTTGGGCGGTTGGCCAGCCTGCCTGCTGGTCGAACTCTTGGTCGAAGGGACAATTTGCATACTAGTCTTTTATTATATAGGAAATACACCAAGTGGACAGATTATTATGCGTTCAGAGATCATAATAATCTGACCACTCAGTCTATATGTATTCTGTACCAGTGTGTTTTCATTTTATGTCTGGATTATCTTTCCACATGACAACATAGACATCTCTTTCATTTTTTAAGTATCTATTTGTGGAATCTACTATAATTTATTTAATGGATACTCTATTGATGAACATGTAGAATATTTCTAAGTGGGATTTGTTTGTTTCAAAATACTGACATTTAAATAAAGAAAACAACCACTCCAGGGTTTTTAGTTTGTGTCTTGGACTTCAGTTCAGCTGGTGAATTATTACTTTTATTTATCTCTTCTTAACATGGATTTTTTTCCTTTTTTCTTTTTTTAAAAAAAGGTCATACAGTATTTTGTAGTTAATTCTACTTCTTCAAACGATTAAATTGCTTGGCTCCCTATGTGTTCTTGATGCAACATTCTGAAGTAGTTATGTAACAATAAGCAGTCTCCAGGACTGCCCCCAGTTGGAAAAGAGTAGAGAGAATCCTTAAGCAACTTGCTGAAAAATAAGTCAGCATTGACACATAACTGTGTGGTTAAAGAACATCTTCAGTGGAGCTAAGGATATGTTAATTTGTGAAAGCACAAAATGGTAAAAGAAATAAAGCAAATAAGTAAACATTTTAAAACTCAAAAACAATGTTCTTTGTTTGTCCTTAACCTCCCTGACCCACCTCCTGTCCTCTTTCCGGCTCCACATGAAGAGAGAGGCTAGGGGAGGGAGGAGAGGATCACTAGGAGAGATGTTGTGCTTATCTCAGGCATCTGTTTTCTCTGGAGTCTTTTCAGGGAATTCTTTAACAAGGAACACAGAAAGTGGAGTTTAGGGAGGTGTCATGAGGTTATTATTACTGGTGTTTTGTTTCTCAGCACCAACAACATATTCTCAATAAATATTTGTGAATGGATTGGATATTTCCCAGACACAAAAGAGAGATGCTATCATTTATTTAAAAAAAAAAAAAATACTGCTTTGGCCCAGTGGCGTGGCTCAGTGGTTGGTGTCCGCCTATGAACCAGGAGGTCACGGTTCCATTCCCGGTCAGGGCACATGCCCGGGTTGTGGGCTTGATCCCCAATGGGGGGTGTGCTGGAGGCAGCCAATCAATGATTCTCTATCATTGATGTTTCTCTCTCTCTCTCCCTCCCTCTTCCTTCCTTTCTGAAATCGATTAAAAAAAAAATAGTTTTGCTGTTGCTCAGAAGGTTGAGTGCCAGGTCCCTTGCACCGAGAGGTCGCTGGTTTGATTCTTTAAAGTGGCTCAGCCTTTTAATTTAAAAAGCCATCATGTTCATGAAATTAAAGGTTTGTTTTACCAGTTATTTTTCAAATACATTTTGAAATGGAATTTTTATTGGTTTTTAAATTAGAATTTTATTTTTATTTGAGACAATATTTTTTCTATCTAAAATTATCTCATGAATCTCAATGTAGTAAATGCTGAATGGAAAGTGTAATTTAATTGGCACCCGAGAGATCTGAGTGTTCACCTTTGTCCCCAGTAACTGCTATGTTTTATTGAGCAAGTTCTTTTACCTCTCCTGAACTCAGTATCCTCATCTTTAAAGGACGAATGTCTAAGGGTCAAACTCCGGTTTCCTGACTCCAGGGCACAGCTATAAGCTACTCCAGGTTTGCTACTGTCCACAGGTTGCATCGTGTTTCCAGGTCTTACATCTGCTGGGATGATTTTAAACTTCAGCTATACAATACAGCCATGGGTTTTAAAATACTCCCACAAAGTGGTGTCTGGAGAGTAAGTTAGTGCCATACCTCTATGTAGCACTATTTGATGGTACCATAGTTATAGAAATTCCACACTAGGGAATTTATTTGAAGGACGTAAGCAGAGATGTTGCCAAAGGTTCATGTACAAGGATGGTCATGACAGTGTCCTACCTAATAAAGAGAGAATATGCTAATTGACTGCCACGCCCTTCAGCCCTGCCAGGGTGGCAGGCACCCAGCAAGGCCAGGCCCCTCCACACATCTGCCTCTGGAGTCCCTCGGTCCCCTCAGCCCCCCAGCCACCCAGGGCTGCCCAAGGCTGAGGTAACCAGGGCTGGCTGAGGCTTGTGCTGCCAGCAGTGGCGGCAGCAGAGGTGTGATGGGGGTGTCACCTTCCCTTGATCGCCGGGTCACCTCTTGCACCTGAGGACTCCCAGACTGTGAGAGGGGGCAGGCCAGGCTGAGGGACCCTCCCCCCTCCATCCAGTACATGAATTTTCATGTACCAGGCCCTAGTTTATTATAGTAAAGAATGATTAACAACATAAATGTCTGATAACAGGTAAATGTTTAAATTAATAATTGTGCAATCATTTTTTGTTGTTGTTAATCCTTACCTGAGGCTATTTTTCCATTGATTTTTTTTTTAGAGAAAGTGTAAGAGGGAGGGAGGGGGGCAGAGAGAGAGAGAGAGAGAGAGAGAGAGAGAGAGAGAGGGAGAGAGAGAGAGAGAGTCCGTGTGTGTTAGTCTTCTCAGTTTGCCATAAGAGAATACTATCGACGAGATGGCTTCGGCAACAGAAATGTATTTCCTCATAGTTTTGGAAGCTGGAAGTCCAAGATCAAAGTGCTGACGGGGTTAGTTTCTGGGGTAGCCTTTCTTCATGGCTTGCGAAGGGCTGCCTTCTCGCTGTGTCCTCGTGTGACTTTTCCTCTGCTGCATCCTTTCTGGGTGTCTCTTCCTCTTCTTGTAAAGACAGCAGTCAGATTGGGTGAAAGCCCCGCATTCAGGAACTCATTTAACCTTAGTTGTTTCCTTAGAGGCCCCCTCTAAATACAGCTACATTGGAGGTTAGGGTTTCCACATATGGATCGAGAGGGGCACAGTGTGATCCATAATAATACATAAACAGCTCGTTTCAGCAGCAGCGTGATAGTGCTCCAGTGGAGACAAGTCTGCCCCATGGAGGTCCAAAGGAGGAACTTACGGCTGTGTACGAGGTTGGAGGTTCGCATTGAAAGTCCCTGTAAGGGTGTATCTTGAGGGATGGGAAGAGCTTACCAGGCAGCAGAGAAGAGACAGAGGCATACGCAGAGGCATATGCAGAGGCTAAGCGGACCCAGGGGATGCGGAGCTCCCTGCCAGGGGCATGGCTTGTGTGTTTGGTGGACACGGTGGGGAGGAGGAGGGGAAGAGAGACATTCAAGTCGGACCCAGGGCCTTCACACAGTTTTTGAGTTGCATTTCTATCCTGAAGTAGACTGGGAAGCGGGGAGGAGTATAGAACTGGGATGGGAGCTCTCTCTAGGTCTGTGGTTCTCAATCTTCCTGATGCCGCCACCCTTTAATACAGTTCCTTGTGTGGTGGGGACCCCCAACCGTAAGATGATTTTCGTTGCTACTTCATAACTGTAATTTTGCTACTGTTAATGAATCGTAATGTAAATATCTGTGCTTTCTGATGGTCTTAGGATCTACAATGGTGGATCTCAACCCGTGGGTCACCTAAGACCATTGGCCTTCCTTCCCCTGGCTGCCAGCACCGGTTTTCCTCCGGCACCCGGGACCCAGGCCTTCACTCTGGCCACAGCGGGAAAGCCACGCCTCGAGGTTAGGCTTCTCCGCTCCGGCCACAGCAGAGAAGCCAAGCCTCTTCAGTCACCTTCAGTCTTCACTTGGTCAGGAGCCTTCAGTCTTTGCTCCGTGACTGTGTATGCAAATTAACCCGCCATCTTCATTGGGTTAAGTTGCATACTCACTCCTGATTGGTGGGTGTTGTGGAGGCACAGTCAATTTGCATATTTCTCTTTTATTAGTGTAGATAATCTTGTGAAATATCTCATGCATGAGAGTATTACACTTGTTTATGCATGGTTAGAAGAAGAAAATGAATGCCCATTTACCCCAGGCAGAAAAACAGCACTTTTGGGGCCTCCCACTCTAACTCTTCAGTCATATCTCCTTCCTTTCCCCAGAGGGAACCACTGTGTTGACTTGAGTCTTTATTATTTGAGAAAGGTTTGTGTAAATCTTTGACAGGGTGTAAACCTATCATTTGTCTCATTCCCTGTCATTCTGATAGTTTTGTTTTCTTTTGACATGTTTTTTCATCTTTAACATATACTTTTATTGATTTCAGAGAGGAAGGGAGAGGGAGAGAAATATCAATGATGAGAGAGAATCATTGACTGGCTGCCTCCTGCATGCCCCCTACTGGGGATGGAGCCCACAACCTAGGCATGTGCCCTTGACTGGAATCGAACCTGGGACCCTTTAGCCCACAGGCCGACACTCTATCCATTGAGACAAACCATCTAAGGCTCTTTTGACTTGTTTTAAAAATAAACTTTTATGTACTTGCTAAAAGTAATTTTGGCAGGAACCGGGCTAATTCTCTGTAGCCCTTGGCACGTGTAAAAAGCAACTGTTATTCACAGGCTGGCCAGGCCCTCCTTTGTTCTTCGTAGCTAACCAAACAAATTGCCTATTTATTTTATTTATTTTTCCAAACAAATTCAGACATGAGATGTGGTTGGTTTGGATAATATAATAAGAATGACCAAACTTTAAAAGGAGATGTAGAAATAAAAATGGCTTTTTATATAATGCTAACATTTATCTCTCAGACTGATGTCTGTATGTTTTAGAATTCCTGATTATTATCCTTAAAATCAAAAATTGGTTTTGCCGAAACCGGTTTGGCTCAGCGGTGGAGCGTCGGTCTGCGGACTGAGGGGTCCCGGGTTCGATTCCGGTCAGGGGCATGTGCACTGGTTGCAGGCACATCCCCGGTGGGGCGTGTGCAAGAGGCAGCTGGTCGATGTTTCTCTCTCATCGACGTTTCTAGCTCTCTATCTCTCTCCCTTCCTCTCTGTAAATCAATAAAATATATTTTTTTAAAAATTGGTTTTAACCTTCCCTATTTTCCTCTAACCTTCCTTTTCTATTCTTATTTGTGTATACTTTTATAAAAAATTAGCTTATTTTGAACAATCAATTTTTAAAGAGATTAGAAGGGAGGGGGAGAGACACACAGAGAGAAACGTTGATGAGAGAGAGATGTTTGCCTCCTGCACGCTCCCCAACCAGGGCTCCAGTGGAGCCTGCAACCAAGGTATGTGCCCCTGACCAGAACTGAGCCTGGGACCCTCAGTCCACAGGCCAACATTCATCCACTGAGCCAAACTGATTAGAGCCCAAATGTATTAATTTTTGAATCCAAAAAGAAATAGTATTTTTATGAGGAGTCTGTTCAGATATAATCTATACTAATAAAAGGGTAATATGCTAATTAGACTGGATGTCCTTCTGGACAAAGCCATGGTGACGAGGCCAAGGCAGAGGCAGTTATGGGGATCAGGCTGGCAGGCAGGCAAATGGTTAGGAACCAGCAACCCCAGTACTTCACATCTTTTTATGACTGAATAATAAAATTTTGTATGGATATGCCACATTTTACTTCTCCATTCATTGTTTGATGGACATTTGGTTGTTTCTACTTTTTTGGCTATTGAGAATAGTGTTGCTATGAACATTAATATATAAATTTTGTGTGGAATTACTAGATCATATAGTAACTGTTTAACCTTTTGAAAAACTTCTATACTATTTTCCAAATTGGCAACACCATTTATAATTCTACCAACAATATATAAGGGTTTCAATTTCTCAACATTTTTGCCAACACTTTTTATCTTTCTGATTATAGCCATTCTAGTGAGTGTGAAGTGGTATCTCATTGTGGTTACCATTTGTTATTTCCCTAATGATTAATGATGTTAATCATTTTTAATGTGCTTATTGGCTATTTATATATATCTACTTTTTGTGTTCAAATCCCTTGCCCATTTTAAAAAGTGGGTTCTCCTTTTATTGTTGAGATGTAAGAATAAAATTTAAAAAATATATATATATTTTTGATTTTGGAGAGGAAGGGAGAAGGAGAGAGAAACATCGATGAGAGGATCATGGATCGGTTGCCTCCTGAGGGGATTGAGTCTGAAACCCTGGGCATGTGCCCTTACCTGGAATGCAACCCGGGACCCTTCAGTCTGCAAGCCAGTGCTCTATCTACTGAGCCAAACTGGCTGTGGCAGTGGTAGGCAAACCGTGGGCTCGAGAGCCACATGCGGCTCTTTGGCCACTTCAGTGTGGCTCTTCCACAAAATACCACGTGCGGGCGCGCACGTCCAGTGCTATTGAAACTTCGTGGCCCGTGCGCAAAAGTCGGTTTTCGGCCTGGGCCAGTCTATTTTGAAGAAGTGGTTCTAACATAAGCCAGTCAATGAAAGAGAAATACCACATGACCTCACTCATTTATGGATATTAAAGAACATTATAAACTGATGAACCAAAAGACACCGAGACACACTCAAGGGGCCAAAGAGCCGCATGTGGCCCGTGAGCCCCACGGTTTGCCGGCCCCTGGGCTACGGTGTAAGGGTTCTTTAGGTATTTATCTAGATACAAGTTCTTTATCAGATCTGTGTTTATAAAAACGCTCTTCCATCCATGGGGTTGTCTTTTCACTTATGCGATCGTTGCTGGTTTGCTTCCCCCCTCATTCCGCTGTAGAAATTGGAGTGTTAGCCAAGACTTTCATTGACCAAGGGAAGCTCATCCCCGATGAAATCATGACTCGGCTGGCCTTGAATGAGCTGAAAAACCTCACCCAGTACAACTGGCTCTTGGATGGTAAGTGATGTGTCATGAGCATTTCCTGGGCTGCAGAGACCTCCTGGATGGTGGGCAGAGAGCCCGTTCCGCCACTGCTCACCCTGAGGCCTGGGCCGGTCGCCTTCTCTGGGCCTGCTTCTTCATCCGCATGGGAGGGCTGTGCACTGCATGATTCCTAAGGCCCCTGCAGATGTGCCCTTAGTTCCTTACCCTCTTTTGAGAATATTTTATGGCAAGGAGGATTACCACACAGGAAACCTGGAGGGTGACTGAAAATTAACTGTAAACCGGCAGAGTGTGGCCGAATGGGTTGATTTTTTTTTTTTTTTGGGGGGGGGGTGGATTGAGGGGAGGGAGAGAGAAGAGGGACAGAGAGGAGAGGGACAGAGGGGAGAGGGGATAGGGGAGAAGAAAGAGGGGAGAGGGGAGAGGGGAGAAGAAAGAGAGGAGAGGGGAGAGGGGAGAAGAAAGAGGAGAGAGGGAGAGGAAGAGGGGAGAGGGAGAGGGAGAGGGGAGAGGGAGAGAGAGAGAGAGATGTAAACAACGGGCACACATGATCACAGAGGCTGACAAGTCTCAGGGTGAGCTGGTAGGCTGGGGGTGCAGGGGGGCTTCCAGTCTGAAGGCCAGCAGGATGGAGCCCCAGGAGGAGCTGTGCCAGTGTGAGTCAGAAGGCAGAAGAAAGCCCACGTCCCAGCTCCACAGCAGGTGGTGCTCCCCTCGATCCGGGGTGAGGGTCAGACCTTCAGTGGATTAGATGAGGCCCATCCACCTTAGGGAGAAGAAATCTTCCTTACTCAGCCTACTGATTTACATGTTACTCTCATCCAAAGCTCTGTCACAGACACACCCAAAACAATGTTTAACCAAGTAGCTGGGCGCCCTGTGGCCCAATCAAGTCAACACACGAAGTTATCACAGTTGCCCTACAGCTGTGACCTGCTTGGCTGGTGTTACTGCTTCTGTTCAGATTGCTCAACGTTCATTAATTCTCTTCCTTCTTCCCTCCCTTTATTCACTTTTTTTTTTTTTTTTTTTTTTTGGTGTATGTGTGTGTGTGTGTAAAGGTTTCCCAAGGACTCTTCCTCAGGCAGAAGCCCTGGATAAAGTTTATAAAATAGACACCGTGATTAATCTGAAGGTGCCCTTTGAGATCGTTAAGCAGCGCCTCACAGCTCGCTGGATCCATGCAACCAGCGGCCGAGTCTACAACATTGATTTCAACCCTCCCAAACGTGTGGTGAGTAGTTGTGATGGAACTGGCCTTCCACAGAGCCGTCTCCAAGTCCTCTTGCTCTCACAGGCAGAAGTTTTATGACCTTGGAAAACCCTTCCTGCCCCAAACTCCTAAGGGTACAGCCTCAGGTTCTGGTGTGGTCCTTGTCTGGTCCACTCAGTTTGTTAGTGGAAGCGTCCCAGGAGTGACAGGGGTTTGTTATTCCTTCGAAAGCATTTATTGATTTTCTATCATACTTTGTGTCAGGGGCTGTGTTTGGAGTTGGGGCAATAGGGGTTAGCGACACCTTGGCTTATTTAGGTCAACATAAGAACGCCCAAACCTATAGAGAATTTCTATAAAAAATCGACACAAACAGGATACGCCTGGAAACAAGATCCCAACAGACTGAGAAAAATGCTGCCCTGAATAGCAGGTGACAGCTTCATTCATGCATTCGGAGGGAACATCAGGAAGATGACAAGAAGGTGGGGATTGGATTACAGGATAGTTAGCAAGATTATATGCTCTCTTGAAGGTGGCTATCAGGGATCTGAGTCATTGCAAAGGTGTGTCACCTCGATGCTCAGAAACAATGGACAGGGCTTACTTAAGGCAAAGATAAACCTTTTCCTAAAGAAGTTATATGCCTAGGGCATGACTACCCACTGTGACCTGCCCAGTTAGGAGTTTACGATCGGGTCACCCTGTGAGGGTACTTTTTGTAAGACCCCTTTTTCATCCACGACATGAAATGATTTTGAGGCTGCTTCGAAAACCTTTCAACTCTAAGGAGTAGGGGACTGACATGGCTCTGCGCCGCAATGATCTGGGTTTGGATTTTATTCTGTTTATTTAAAAGTACATTTAAAAAATATATTTTATTGGTTTTTTACAGAGAGGAAGAAAGAGGGATAGAGAGTTAGAAACATCGATGAGAGAGAATCATCGATCAGCTGCCTCCTGCACACCCCCTACTGGGGATGTGCCCGCAACCAAGGTACATGCCCTTGACCAGAATCGAACCTGGGACCTTTCAGTCCGCAGGCGGACGCTCTATCCACTGAGCTAAACCGGTTTCGGTTAAAAGTACATATGTGTGCTTGGTGTTTGCATAGATAAGAAATCTGTTAACGCCGAGGCCGGTTTGGCTCAGTGGATAGAGCGTCGGCCTGCGGACTGAAAGGTCCCAGGTTCGATTGTGATCAAGGGCATGTACCTTGGTTGAGGGCACATCCCCAGTAGGGGGTGTGCAAGAGGCAGCTGATCGATGATTCTCTCTCATCAATGTTTCTAGCTCTCTGTCCCTCTCTCTTCCTCTCTGTAAAAAATCAATAAAAAAATATTAAAAAAAAGAAATCTGTTAAAAAAAAATCCTGTAACTGCTTATAAAAATGTTTGATAGCAGCGTGCCCTGACTCCCATGTAGGGCCTCGACGATCTGACCGGGGAGCCCCTCGTGCAGCGGGAGGACGATAAACCGGAGACGGTGGCCAAGAGGCTGAAGGCTTACGAAGCTCAGACAGAGCCAGTCCTGGAATACTACCAGTGAGTCTGTCGCTTTTCAGAACTTCCCTGCAGCATCAAGCACTAAGGCAGTTTTCCATCCTCCATGGCTTTACAGCTAACATGTTAAAACATCAGAAGATCCAGTTCAAATTGAATTAGACCATAAAGGCAGTGCGTTAGCATGTGTAATAGAGAAGTCCAGATGGTAGGCTGGGCTTCCGTCATGCTTCAGTTGGATTCGTTTTGCCATTCTCAGCTTTGTATCGACTTGGACAGGTGTCAGGAACAGCCTTTTCCTGCAGGGCTGAGGGGTCACCTTTTCCCAGCGAACACAAGCCCTAAGTGTCACGCAGACTGAACCCAGGGGAACAGCCACTGTGGTCAGAGAATGCCCTGCATGAATGTTGGAGGCAGGGATTTCTGCCCATCCCTAAAGCAGTCACTGGGGTGGGAGTGACTGGTCCACACCTGGAGCTGGGAGTGGGTCCGTCTCACCCAGATTCTGCTGTCTGGTGGAGGGAGGACTGGAATGAATGCTGGGGAAGCAACCCTAGTAAGATCCATTTCCTGAGCTTATAGGACAGAAGACTCAAGTGGCAATCAATTCTCAGATCATTTATTTGGTTAATCATCTTTAAAAGCTTATATTCTTTTTTTTTTTTAAATAGGTGTTTATTGATTTTAGAAAGGAAGAGAGAGGGAGAGATAGAAATATCAATGATAAGAGTGAATCATCAATTGGCTGTCTCCTGCATGCCCCACACTGGGACTTGAGCCCACAACCCAGGCATGTGCCCTGACTGGGAATCAAACTGTTTGTTTCATAGGTTGATGCTCAACCACTGAGCCACACAGGCCTGGCTAAAAGCTTATATTTCTAACGTAGTTTTGTTTGCCCACAACAGAATATGGTATCTATACTAAATAATATTTAACTCAGGCTAAGAAACAATCCAGTTTCCTTACCCGTCCCCTCTCCTTTTATTCATTCACTTACTGAACAGTTGTCAGGACAGAACAGTGCTGTGTTTAGGGCACAGACTCTGGAGCCAGACTAAGTTCAAATCCCAGCTCCTCCTTTATTATCTTGGTCTTAACCTGTTTTCTTCTCTGCAAAATGGGGGTGAGAATAGAAGGTTGAAATATTGAGTTCATATGTGTAACTCTCAGAATTATTTCTGACACGTAGCATTTTATAATGATCAGTTGTTATTGTTGTAATAGGGAAAGTATGCAGTGAAACTAAAATAATAGTCTGCAAATTGTTTTAATAGATATTTCTAGAGGTTTAAATTATAAGGGAGTTGGCGATCCACTTTCTACAGTAGCTGTTACAGTAATTTTGTGATTTGTGTAATGAGGCTGGCTCTGCAGATTGCTAGCACTGGGGCCCTGGGCAAGGGATTCAACCTCTATGCCACAATTTTTCCATTTGTAAAATCAGGGCATATTAAATGGTACCTCCTTTATAGGGTCATTAAGGGAATTAAGTGAGAGAATCCACATAAAGACTTATGGCAGCCCTGGCACTATTAAATCTCTCAGCTAGCTATCATTTACCCTGCCCAAACCCAAGAAACTCTCACTTTCTCTCTGGGGGTGAAGCAGAGAGCTGGGTAAATAACATTTATCATAAAATGTGCCTATTCCAATCATGGATCTAATTCACATCAGTCTAAGCAAAAGGGAAATGTATTGGTCCTGTAACTAAAATGTCCAGAGGTGAATGCTGGGTCCAGCTTGTTCAGTGGGCTTGGGCTCGTCACTCTCGGCGCCATTTTCCTGTGTTGGCCACAACCTCAGGTGGGCTCTCCCTGCCTAAGTCCCTCAGCCCCTGCTTACCGCACTTAACCTCCTGCCAGTTCAGCTACCCCAGCAGAAGAGAGAGCCTCTTGGCCAACAGAAGTCCTACAGTGGGCACTGATGAGCTCATCATGTCCATCCGTGAAGCTGGGAAGTGGGGACAATCCCACCAGAATCTTGTGACCGTTTCCGTAAGCCAGAGGGCAGCACTGAAACCAAAACCCAGGTTTTCCAATGCCCAGTCAAATGCCTCTCTTTCGTGATCATGCAGACTTATACTTATGGAGACCCTACATCAACATTATCATCCTATCTAATAAAAGGGTAATATGCAAATTAACTGTCACTCTGTAACAAAATATGGTGGTGCCCAATTCTCTCAGCCTCGCCAGAGTCCCCCAGTCCTGGGAGGCAGGGGGTGGCCGCTGAGAGCATGAGTGGCCTGGCGGAATGCTTGCCCAGAGCCAGAGTGGACACGGACAGGGACAGGGGGCTGGCCCGCAGCCTCCGTGGCTGAGGACAGACCCGGAGAGGAGACGGAGGGCCCTCCTCTCACAGAAGCGGCTCAGCTCCCTCCCGATCCCCACGGAAGCAACAAGGCTTCCTCCCGCCTCCTGCGGAAGCAGCGCAACTCTCACCCAGCTCCCATGGGTGCCGGCAGCTCGCTTCCGCCTCCCATGGAAGCTGTGTGACTCCCATTGGCGCATTGTATTCCCGCCAGCTCCCTTGGAAGCGGCGGGCGGCCTACAGTGCACGCTATCACGTGATGGGCTATTAGTCTTATATAAAAAAAGGCTAATATGCAAATTGTCCCCTCAACTGGGAGTTTGACCAGGAGGTGCGGCCAGCCAGCCAACCACCCACGGCCTCTCCCCTGGCTGGCCCTCCCCACCCGAATGGGGTTGGGGTTGGCTGGTCAACCTCGCAGCCAATTGGGCCAGGCCAGCCGGACCCCACCCATGCATGAATTCCTGCACTGAGCTTCTAGTCTTTTAAGAATCACTTCGAAAAAGTTTATGAGGAAGACTCAGACTTGTGTTTGTTTGTTTTGTCACCTTTAGGAAAAAAGGAGTGTTGGAAACATTCTCAGGAACTGAAACCAACAAGATCTGGCCCCATGTGTATGCCTTCCTACAAACAAAACTGCCACAAATAAACCAGAAGTCATCTGTTACTCCTTGAGGAAAAGCCCGTGTAACTAGTAAGATGAGCAGACGCTCCTTGTCCTAAGACTCAGACATATATGAATTCTTCAGAAATTTTGTTAGTTCATTTCTACTGATTTTATTCTGGAAATTAAGATGTGTCAAATGAGTCAGATTCTAAGATTTGTCTTTTGACATCATCTAGTATGTTTTATCCAGTTATCTTCGATAGGTGTGCAATTTTAAAACATCAAATATGTCTAATAAAACTTTTGAAAAGTCTTTTAGAGCATAACTAAAAGAGCAACTGGTTGCACTCTAACTTTTGTTCAGAAGATTAAGTGGTTAATAACATTTCCTTATTTTTCTGGAAAAGTAAAGAAAAAAAAATTCCATGTCATTTGGGAAAAGTCTCATCAGAGGCTTTTGCTTAGAGTGATGCCAGAAAAGCCATACCTAGCTCCGCGGTACACTGTGTCTATAAAATCCCAGAAAAAAAGCAACTGGATTTATAGATTAGTTGCAGGATGCAAATTCACTGCTGCCTCCACATGAAGAGATTTATAAACTAGCCATATATGTTGTACTTATTTTGTTGTAAATGTACCTTCAAAGTTACTCAGAATTTTCAATTTGCTATAAAAATGTGTGTTAGCATATAGGAAAGTATTTATATGAGAAATTGACTTAAGTCCTGCAAAAAGACTGGAGTTGAATTTACAAAGGAAAATGTAAAGACCTATGTTTTCAGATATTACTTTGGTTAAGAGATGTGCTTTTGGACCTACTTACCAGTTTCTCTTTTTAAACAAAATGTCTGATATCTGCTTTGACGAGTAACATTCAAGTAGAAAAAAACAAAACAAAAACCCACACCCATGGACTAGGTAAAGCAAGCATGCGCTGTTCATTGGGAAACAGATCACGTTTGTCTGGGGAAAATTCCCTTGACAGATGTAGCAATCCTAATTAACTGGTATGGCAACAAAAGGAATGCCAGGACAAGGAACTAACTGAGTTTGTTGAAGGAGTTTATTCCTAACATTCACTGCTGTCTTATCTTTAGGGTAAAGAACTTTGCTGATGAGTGTCACCTAAGCAGCTGTTCTGAAAAATAAAAAATGTGATTCCTTACTAGGGCCACAAGGATGCGTGCGTGTATGGACTGTGGTCTGGTACGAGGAGTGGAGCAGTATCTTCAGTGTATTCTGACTTTGCTTGGTGCCAAATCAAATGAAACAAGTCCTTGTACAAGCTGTTATTAACGAAAATATGATGTTTTATTCTAGGCACTTAAAATTCAACTGCCAATTAGTGGTTCTTATGTATTTTATGGGAAGGATAAAACTTTTCCTTACTTTTGAATTTTTTAAAAGCTCAATTTGATCTTTCAAAATGGACCAAGGCTTTTAAAGAGAATTACAGCAAACAATCTGTTCTTTCTAAAACTTTCTATAATGTCTTATTTGAATGTTACTATTATGTGCTTTCTAAAAAATGTTGTGGGCTATTAAACTTATGAATTATCACCAGCTTACCAGGCATACGTTAGTATTAAGGCATGGAACACAGTTCCAGTTTAGAACTGTGGGTATCACTTTGTCTTTGGTAGTTCACAACGCCCACTCCTTCCCACCTTCTGTTCTCATGCCCTGATGACTCACTGGCTTCTGAATTAGTGAGTGGTTTCTAATAACTCTTAAAACAGTACGCAGGCTGCTTTCATTTCATGTTATACTTTGCCTCATGCTATAAAGAACTACAGTCATACTGGCCTTCTTGACACCCTTAGGAGATTTGGAATAAAAAACAGGCAGGAGAACATGGTTATGAAATAAAGGACTCTTCTTCCCTATCACTATTCCCTCCCTCCTCCCAAAATACCAAACCCAAAGTTTTGCACATAGAGCCATTACTTTATTTTATATAAAACACTTGCATTATTGTTTTTTTCTTATTAAAGCCAACAAAAAGAACTTGTTTTACGCTGAGTTAATATCATAGACCAGCAGTCACCACCAGGTGGATCCGCAGACCACTGGTGGCCCGTGAGGTAGACAGTTCTGATGAAGATTATCATTGCTGAGGGTCACATCTGCTAAAAAAATGATGCTGTAATGACATTATGATTTATGTACTATATGGAAATGTTTGCAGCTGAATGCCATTATTAGAGGCTACTATGTCTTAAAGGTTAATGAGAACTGTACTTAACCCCATTACCCTATTTTCTGGAGTACCACAGTTATTTTGGTGCAACTTATATAAGCCAAGTGTGTTGTGGGAAATGAATATTGGCAGTTAATACATCAGAAAATTTATTCCTCAATTCCATTTGAAATAGGTTATATACTTGCTTTAATTCCTAAACCCCAGCCCACAGCTAACATCTCTCCCAGCCCCCCTCCTCCCCCCCCCCCCCCCCCCACACACAGAGCTATTCATAATGGCACTCCAGTAAAGTATTTGGATACTCATTGTGGCAAAGCTTACCTGTTAAAAACAAATCATGCTAATTACAGACCTCCAATTAAACTGTTGTAATACTTGCTACTATTAGCAAGAATAAATTTATATTTTTTGAAACATATTTCAGAGAGGAAGGAAGAGGGAGAGATAGAAACATCAAAGATGAGAATCATTCTTGGCTGCCTCCTGTACAACCCATCCTGGGTATCAAGCCCATAACGGAGGCATCTGCCCTGACTGGGAATCGAACTGTGACCTCCTGTTTCACAGGTTGATGCTCAACCACTGAGCCACACCAGCTGGGCTAAATTTGTATTTTAAAACATATTTATAAGTTGTGTCTTTTCATTGACAAAAGAAAATATTCCCAGACACTAAACTGCAGAAACAGCTTTCTTATCTTCACAATCCAAGATTTTGATTTTGGCAGTTACAATTTAAAAATGTTTAAATCCATTCAAAATAAAGTCTAGCTGTGCTTAAAGCTTTTGAGAAAAGCTGATATATTTTGTAGTGTTCATAACTCAATCTGCCTTTTTTTTTTTTTTTTTTTTTTTTTTTTTTTTTTTTTTTAAAGAAAGCTCTCTAGCCCCACTGGTGTTGCTCAGTAGCTGAGCATTGACCTGTGAACCAAGAGGTAATGCACAGTTCGATTCCCAGTCTGGGCACATGCCTGGGTTGCAGGCCCCAGCCCCAGTGGGGGGGCATGCAGGCGGCAGCAGACCGATCTCTCATTGTTGATGTTTCTATGTCTCTCTCTCTCCCTTCTTCCCTAAAATCAATAAAAAAGATATATATCTATATATATCTATATCTATATCTATCTCTATCTCTATATCTATATATACACACACACACCCCAAGTAAAGTTAATCTGTCATGCCACACTGCACTTTGGAAGGATTTTACCAAAGTGTAAATCAATCTGGCGATGTGTCATATTTCACCAATGGACTCTAAATAAATGTTTGAAAAGTAAGCAGCACGAAGAATCATGCTGTCTAAAAAAACAAACAAAAGGAGCATTAAAAAAGAACAGAGATCAGGAGAGACAAGATGGCGACCGATCAGAGGGACTTGTTCTGAGCCTGGTCCCAGAACAGATAGAATCTGCTTCTAAGAGTCGCTTAGGGAGTATAGATTGGCAAGCTAAGGGGTGGCAGAACTCTAAAAGAAGGTAAGGGTCCTCTGGACAGGATTTCCTGACCAAGCAGCCAGCGCTGCTGCGGCGGCGGCGATCTCTCCCGGAGCTACGGGCTCAGGGGAAGGCTGCGCCATCTCACCAATAAAAGAGGATCTTCTCTGAGGCCTGGAGAACCCACAGCAAAGGGGACCATCGAGCAGCTGTGATGTCCCAATTGGCGCAAACATGTGGATTCAAGGGAGTTCCTCAATCACCCACGGAAAGGAGAAAGAAAATCACATCAGATATCCTGAAAAGAGAGACCATGGGCAGACAAAGAAATAGCCCGCACATGAAAGAAAAGCAGGCATCACCAGGAAAGGAAGTAAACGAGTTAGAGGCAAGCAACCTACCAGAGCAGGAATTCAGAGTAATGATCATAAGATGGCTAAAAAAAACAAAAGATCTAGGAATTTTTATTTTGCTATTTAGAAAAGAACTAACTTCAAGTCTAATTAAGACTTATGAGAATGGTTGTGACATATCAGATGGTAAGCAATTTTAATCAACTTTAATTCATCTTTGTATCCTTCCACTAGCTTATATAGCGCAAATACTTCTGACCTGTGAAACAGTACATACATGTCCATTATAGATGGGAAATGGATGCATAGAATTTTTTTTTTAAATACTTGTGATTTTTAAATTATATTTAATTGATTTTTAACAGAGAGGAAGAGAGAAAGATAGAGAGCTAGAAACGTCGATGAGAGAGAAACATCGGCCAGCTACCTCTTGCACACCCCCTACTGGGGATGTGCCCGCAACCAATGTACATGCCCTTGACTGGAATCGAACCTGGGACCTTTCAGTCCGCAGACCAACGCTCTACCACTGAGCCAAACCAGCTTCGGCGGACGCATAGAATTTAATAAAACATGTATGATATAGAGGCAAAATTGAAATTTAAAAGCCCCTCCTCCTACCAAAAAAGAAAAAGCCTCGCCAAAACCCAGCCAAGTTCATTTCTATCCCACATCAATTTAAGAACCGAGATGCATGACTGACTTTGAGAACAGTAAATTGACATTTTTATTTTTTTCTGAAAATATCCCAAGATTAATAACTTCAGGATCACTTGGTCTAAACCTACAATCAATTTTTTATTCTGTAAGAAAATCTATTGACTAGATTCATGTTCTTTGGGCAGCATGTTAATTCCCTTTCAAAAGGGCAATAGGAATGCTAATCTGGAAGATTTTCCTAAAGGTATAGATCATAAACTAATGAGGCAAAACTTGAAAGAACCCATTGATACAATTGGATACTAATGGTTTAATTGGATGAAAATGTTACCCATCTGTCACTCCTAGAGAATAATTTTAAATCAGCATTATTTCCACTACCATTGATAAAATGAGTTAACGGAATAAATGGAGTGATAGCTATTTTATTTTAAAAACATTTTATTAGAATATTAATTTTATCAATTGAAACAAGAATCCTTGATGGATAGATTTTTTAAAATATCTCTTTATTGATTTCAGAGCAAAGGGAGGGAAAGGTAAAAATATCAACAATGAATCATGGATCAGCTGCCTCCTGCATGCCCCCTACTGGGGATCCAGCCTACAACCCGACATGTGCCCTTGACCAGAACTGAACCTGGGACTCTACACCCTATCCGCTGAGCCTACCTGTCTAGGGTCTTGATGGATGTTTTTTTAAAAATATATTTTTATTGATTTCAGAGAGAAAAGGGAGAGTGACAGAGAAACAGAAACATCAATAATGAGTCATTGATCAGCTGCCTCCTGCACGCCCCCTACCGGGAATGGAGCCTACAACCCGGGCATGTGCCCTTGACCAGAACTGAACCTGGGACTCTTCAGCCTGCAGGCTGACGCTCTATCCAGTAAGCCAAACTGGCTAGGGCTTGATGGATATTTTGATGTCAAAGATATTTCACTCATTTTTGCACTTTCCTTGGTTTGTGTCAAGAGAAAACTGTCCAACCTGAAATATGATCCTTTTGTTTCCTATACTCTTATTATTAAGAAACAGAAAAGACAACATTTCTCTTAACAGTTCTTAGTACTAAAGAAAGAAGAAACAAATGTCAATTTACTATTCAATATGTAAAAATTATAGTTTTTAAGTGCAAATCATGGCATCAGTCAGTGGCTTCTAAAATAAATCCAATCATATCTTTATATTCAAAACATAGAACACAGTACCCTTTGCAAATTAAAAATAGATATAGCTTTTAAAAAGCTCTTCAATACCTATTTTAGAAAACAAAAAACCCTTGAAGCATTGTTTACTCAGTACTTTGATAATAACTCTTCTTCTAGTTTAATCATTACCTCGAACTTAAAAAAGGCAAAATGAAATTCAAAATAATTTGGATGTTTATAGACAAGTGAAGGGGGAAAGTGAAGTTGAGGAACAGAAAGTATCATTTCTGTGAAACTGAGGATGTTACTCCTGTGTACATTATTCTCTACTTGATAGGAAGGGAAAAATAAGAGGTTGCTCCAGTACAGGAAAACAAAAAGCTCCTGTAACTAGGTCATTGGTAAAAAAAAAAAAAAAAAAAAAAAAAAAAAAGTATAGGCTGATGAATACTACCATATAAGTTAATCAAACATTTTATTATAGAGCATATCTTTATATCAAAAGCACAAAAGAGTTTTATTCGGAAAATGGGTAAGACTGTGATGTTACATAAGTATGATTCAATAATTCCAGTCCATTTCTATGGGTACTAAGTGCCTTATCACCCCAGTTAGTAAAAACAAGGTGCAAATGAGGCCATGGTTACAAGTCTGATCATCATATTATGTGTCCCTTAGCAATATTTGGTTTTACAAGTTGAGACATGTATACCTAATCTCAGTCATCTTCCAAATGTTTGCTACTACCGGTAGTCTCAATGGGATTGAACCAAAGACTATACCCAATAGAAATCAAAGCTCATGTTCCTATGTCAGGAGATTAATCCTCACATAATGATAGCATAATTAGCACTGTCGTCTAATTCCAAATAAAATGAATCATCAAACATCCTCTTATAGTTGACGTGAATTATACTGGAAGTAGTAAAACTCAGCAGCATTTTATGGTAACTGAGCTAGAGAGAAACGACAAATGCAGTAAAAGCCATCATTATCCACAAGGAATACCAAATTTGTAGAAGTAAATAGTTGGCAGCTCAAGGCAGTTAGCTCTACAAGCTTTCTCTTGACTTTTAAAAAAGTCCTTGGCTACATACATCAGAGTGAAATGAACAATAAACCCAATTTAAAAAATCAGATTCTTCTTCCTGTTCTTATAGGCCATTAATATTTTTTAAAAACTTGCTCCCTGAGAGATCCCAGACTATGTCAAGAAAAGAAATTAAGAGCGAGCTTGAAGTTGCTTTTATTAAAAAACAAAACAAAAAACCCCCTCTATATTAGCTTTTTCACTTTTTAAATCACTATATCCCTTACTATTAAAAA